GGTATAAGGTCTTTTGAACTGTTTGAAAAAATACAGGAAAGGCTTAGAATTCATTAATAACTATTAATATAAAGTGCTCTAGGTTCTTTCTTCTGGAACCAGCTCACCATGGGTTTGATGCTGGTCGTCCTGCAGCAGGGCTGTGAAACTCTTCTGCCTCCGACGTCCTGAGCTTCTTCCCACTTGTTGCGCTGGGACCTTGTCTGCTCCTCTTGGCTTTCTGTTTGCTCTTCTCTGTTCCCCAGCCTTTCCTTGCTGCTGTCACCACGGCAGTGGAATTAGGAGGTTTCTGTTCTGATGACTTGGAAAAAGGAGTTGTTCTGCTGCTCTGGGAAGGTGCCGGAGTTGGTGCTGGTGCAAGTACTCCAACAACATGTCCCTTGGTAGGGCATAGAGGAGTGGCCGTGCCCGATGTTAAAGTTACAGTGTTGTTTTGACTTGGGTCCAGAGTCTGAGTTCTGTTACCTAACAGAGACTGATGCTGTCGCTGGATGTTAGTACCTTCTGCCTCTCCTTGCCTGTTGACAGCCATGCTGATGGTCTGTTGAGAGGGCAGGACACAGATGCTACTGCCTATTGATGTCTGCATTGGTGAACTAAGTTGTGACATTAGAGGAGCTCCTGACTGGAGGACCATTGGCTGATCCGATAGGCCTAAACTGTGTGGACTTGCCTTGAACAGGAGGTTGCCAATAGACCCTGTGATCTCTGTAGAACTGAGTACAGGGGAGGAGAGTGAGACTGAACCCGGAGCCAGAAGGCCTGTGGCACCGCTATGGGGCACAGAAACGACATTCAACACTGACTGACTGGGGTTGAGGCTGGAGACTGTGCAAGGAAGGAGGTGTGTGGAGGAATCATGACCCAAGATTCCGGGCTGAGCCGTACCTGTGATCCGTTGTTGTAGGAGAGTGCTGGGGTCCAGATACATAACCCCACCTGGTTTTGGTCTTTTGATAATATTTGGAACCTTGCGTTGAGCAGCAGGCAAGGTGCTCAACTCAACTAGGCCACTAGGCTGTCCCGGGATTCCAGCAGTGATCTGAGGGGAAGACAGGTTGATGAGGGTCATGTTTGGTGGTCCCACCTCAGATGGGGCCAGGGTGGGTTGACTACGGGAGCGGGCCAACTTTTTGTTTTTTTTGGTATGCAAACGAAAGATGGGTCTTTTTCTGCCATGAGCAGAGGGTAATACGGTCGGTGAAGTAGTAAGAGTGGAGGGACTTGACACAATGGCTACACTGGGACCCAACTCATGTGGTCGACTTGCCTCTGAGACTAAAATTTGAGACTGTTCGTGGGCCTGAGAGGGTAGCCCTATTAGAAGCCCTGAGGTGGTGCTTGGAATTCCTGTCTGGAAACCTGTCTGAGTGGTTCCCGCAAAGGTGTGAATGTGAGATGGATGTGCCATTGTGCCCAGGACTTTGCCACCAGCAGGAAATATGGGCTGGCCTGCAGATAAACCAGTGTTTAACCCTGTAGTCAGAGTCATAGAGCTCAGCACAGCAGGAGAGCTGGTATCCATCACTGCGGTTGTATTAATCTTTTGGGTAACACCATTTGGGACAGTCTGAAGAACATAGAGGGGATGGAATGGCTGATGGACTACAATAAGCTTATCAGGGCCTGGTTTAATGACTGCAGGACCAGAAACCTGGGTTTGGGATGGTCCTGGTCCAGGGACTGTACTAGGACTGCCCGCAGCTGCACCTGAGGTTGGGAGATACTTATGACCTTGAAGAGGTAAGGAGGGAGAACTTGGAAGACCAGGTGTACTGGAACTCCTTGAACCATCCTGGCTTCCAGGAGGATCAACCACTTGGCCAATTGCAGGGCTAGGGATAAATTGCTCAGGAGTCATGTGACCTTCAGTGACTTGTGTTTCTCTGCTTCCTAAAGTGGCAGCATCGTGCTGATTCTCCGATGGGGACCCACCTGGCCCTGCTCTTTTTTTGTCCCCTGACTTTTCTCCACTGAGGCTCTCTGTGTCAGAAGCCAGGTTGAGCAAGGCTCGGTCTGAGGTATCAGAAATGAGACCCCCGGTCGAGTGATTCTGACTGCTGCTGACACTTGGGCTGCGTGTGGTCAGGACAGAAAGGTCAGAGGGCAGTTCGAGCGGTAGATAGGGTTCCTCTACAGATATGGAGCTGTTCACGCTGTTATCTACTACACCTCCACTCTCAGTGCTGGGTAGGGGCTGGGAAAAGTCATCAAACAGAATTTCTTTGCGCCGATTGACATCCACTCCAACGTATCCCTCATCGAGCAGCAGTTCTGAGGAAGACGGCTCAGATTGTTGACCCAGAGTCTGCATAGACATGGAAGGTGTGTTCAACACGAACTCCATAATGTCCGAGGGCAAAATGTTCCCACAGTCATCACTGTTGTTGTTGTCAGAGTCTGATTTCAGCAGGTCTGTGCTGAGGGATAGTTGGGCCTCAAGAGGATCCTGACCCTGACTCTGAGGCTGGGACTTGACACCAACTCCTAAAGGAAGACAATTTTCTTTCTGGTTTTTTCGTCCTTCTCGGGTGTTGCCACTCACTGGCCCCGCATTGCCGTCAGAATCCTTATTGGTGTCATGGGAGTCATGTTTTTCAGTGTACCTTTCCTTGCCCCTTCTCTTTGAGGTGGTCTTATGTGGGGTGGAAGAAGAGGTGGATGTGGTAGTGGTGGTGCTGGTGGTGCAAATGCTGGTATCACTTTCAGAGCCATCATCAATGCCATCCAGCTGTCCAATATGAGGCTTTCCCAATGTCCTGTTAAACACACACAACAAACAAGGTGAAGATGGTTTTTATAAAATCATAAAGTATGTTTTTTTAAATTAAAACAATCGAGTGTACTTACAAAGCACTGAGCATGTCATCCTCAGCTTTTTCCTGAACCCGCTGGTGTTGCTGCTCTTCATCTTTTAGAAAACGCTGGAGCTGGGACCCCCTTCCAAGACACTGGTCTATCCCCTCTATAGATGGTAGGCCCTCACCCGGATTAATTACTGTGCGGGTGAAGTTGTAGTAGTAAGCGTCTTTACTTCTCTGTTTCATCACACTGTCTTCATCGTCCCCACTGTCCACTGATGATGAAGACGTGCTAATGTCATCTGCTCCATCCACCTGTCCCTCAGCTGACTTCTTGCGGCCACCACTTCTCCTCTTCACTACCGTTCCAGTTCCATCCTCACTAGTGTAGAAGGCAAGGTCTTCTTCCCCATATGAGCGAACCCCATAGAATGGAGTGAGTCCAAAAAACATGTTGGACCTTGCGCGAGCACTGCGTCGAGGGTAACGCCTCTTGGCTGACCCAGAACCATCGCTGTCTTCTTCATGATGTTTATCATCCATGACCCTGTCGTGATCATCATCCGGTCCATCGCCCTCATCCTCGCCGTCTTTTGTTAAGAGGCTGTTGCGGTCAATGATGTCACCACACAAATGCTCCTTGTGCAGGTCGTCATCCTCAGTAGGAGTCTGAGTGTCAGATTCAGAGCTGTCACTGCTGCTGGCAGATGGTGAGGAGAAGATGGCAGCACCTGAAGAGCGATGGACTGCAGGTGAGTCGGTGGAGGTATTGTTTGTGGAACACAAGGAAGAAGAAACACCACTAAAAGTCCTGGTCCCATTTGGATCAGCCTTGCTGTCACTCTTTAGAGATGTAAGTGTGGAGGGTTTCACTGGTCGCCTTTTCTCCCTTAAGGACAGAGACACTTGGTTTGTCATCTGTTTGGATTGAGACTGAGAAGATGTCTTCAATCCTTTATCAGCAACTAAAGTAGCCGGTTGCAGCTGCTCCAGATCTAAAGTAGAACTGTTCTTCTGAGGAGAAGAGTAGTTTTCTCTTCTCTTTGAGGATGTCCTATTGCTTCCCAGGTTCTCGTGCTTGTCCCCCTGAGTCTTTCCGTGGACTTTGGTGCTGTTTCCATGCACTGCTGCATCTCTGTTGCTGCAGTTGTGGGAACTAGGATTTGACACATGTGTATTGGAGCAGGTGGTGGCTGTAAAATTACTGTTGTTAAGGGGGTTCTTGTTGCTGCTGTTCTGGAGGGTCTTGTTTCTTTCACGATCTTTGGACACCTCACTGCTGCCTGCTGACTTAGCTTTGGGGTATTTCTCTTTGGCAGCCAAGACTGCAGCTGAAGATACCAGGTGCATGGAGCCTCGTTTAATGATGTCATCTTCTGCTGATTTTCTTGATGGCCAAAAAAGCTTATCAGTTGCCACTGGAGCTGCACCTGCCACGTAATCATTGGATTTTCGTGCAATCGATTTCTGAAGTGAAGTTTGTATGGACGAGAGTTTTCCATAAACAGAATCTTTAGGATGTGATGCTGGTAATGGATTTCCAGAGCCACTGCTACTCTCCTTCCCTGAGCTAGGCTTGTCCTTAGACTGAATAAAGTTTGGGGTAGGAGATGATCTGTGACGGGGCAACAAACCTAAGTTTGTGGAAACATCTTGGTCTTTGCTGTGTTTTCCTTGCTTTTCTGTCTGCTTGGTGCTGACCTGACTTTTCTGCTGACCTGTGAGAATAGCAGTGCCTGGCAAAGGGGAAGACTGGCCTGAACCTGCAGATGCCAGTCTGTGGGACTTACTCTCACCTCCAGTCTGTTTGGGGTGACTGGTAAGGTTGCTGTCTTTCCCTGAGCCAGAGTCTTTGTTTCTCTCGGTGCTTCGGTGACTGGTATCCCTCAAGGGAGGTCGACCCCTGTCAGACTCCCTGCTCGATGGTCGATCTTTGCCTGAGTCTTTTCCTGTTTCCCTGCTATATTGCCTTTGCTTCCCAGAGTCCTTAAACAAAGTGTCTATAGTGAATGATTTAACTTTATCCACCTCCTTGTAGGGGATCTCTCTAGAGGATGATTTGCTTTTGTCAGTTTCTCTGCTTGCATGTTTCCCCTTCTCGGAATCTCGGTTTACTTGTCTCCCCTTTTCTGAATCTCTGAAGGAATCTGTGCTATGAGACCTTCCTCTCTCAGAGTCTTTTAAACCCAAATCTTTACTTAGGACCCTCCCCTTTTCAGTCTCTTTGGTTGGTTGGCCCTTGTCTGTGTCTTTTTCTCCAAGCTCTCGGGACGTCCTGTCAGACTCCTTGGAAATATGGTCTCTACTTGTCCCTCTCCCCTTGTCAGAATCTCTTACCCTGTGGTCTCTAAAAAGATGTGACCTGTTTCTATATCTATCGTCTTCTCTTTGAAGTGAACCTTTCATTAAATCTTTGCTAGGGTGTTTGGACTTTTCAGGGTCTCTAGCAGGGGAAGGAATAAGGGGAGGGGGCGAAGTAAGTGGTCGTGATAAAATCCGAGTTGGAGAAGTCATCCCTTTTTGCTTGTTTGATTGGGGGAGAGGAGGAGAGAATGAGGGCGAGCTGTGGCGGCGTGAGTCATTCCTCATGCTGGGGCTTTTCAGGAAATCTCCTGTCCCTGTCTCATGTTTTGGAGGCTGAGAAATAGCTCCTAAAAAAGTGCATGTAGACACTTTCAGTAAGTTTAACAATTACATATATTTCCATTAATTATAATTACCATGAAATTAAAATTATCTCTTATTCTAATAACCTAATTATTTCCACTAATTAAATAAATAAAGAACACATTACCTGCAGAAGCCATAGTACTGGAACCGACTGAACGTTGACATGGGGGGTAGCTTGGATGTCGGTTCCTGGTGTAAACCCTGAGCTTGGCAGTGTTGGTGGGGGAGAGGCTTTCAGAACGTCTCGGAGATTCAAATGGATCAGGAAAGTCTAAAGATAAAATACAAAATTAAATATGAAAGCAACGTTTGTGAAGATAAGATACATTAATATGAAATTCAAGGCTTAGTGCCTGTGGATTACCTGCTAGGGGAGGTGGACTATGTGCTATTGTTCGATTCTCTTCTGAAGCAATTGCACCCTTTAAGTCTGACTCTGTCACAAATGGGTGACAAACTAGAATCCTGCAGGTGTATACACAACGCTTTCGTGCATCTAAAGTACTCCAGTACACCCTGGAACACCTGGGGGTGAAAAAATATTTTGAAGAGCCTTGGTTAGCTTTGTGGTGCAGATATCCTCTGTCAGATACAAACATTTTTACAGTGGCACACCATAACAGAAATGGTACAGAAGAACTAATATTTTGCCCTTACTGGTATCCAACAGGAAAGAGTTTCCGTTTGCAGTCAGACAGTTCAGTCAGTATTCCCAGACAATCAATGGTCATGGAACCTAGAGTAACGTTTAAGTCAACAATGAATGGTCACGTAGCATAAGGCATGATACATGATAAAACACACACATCCTTTATCGACCACTACCAGCCGCCAACTCACCTATCATCATGTGGACATTCTCAGGCTCAAGTCCAGTGAGCCATTTTCTCCTGAAACTTATTCCCTCCAGGTCCACTAGGATCCTACGGGTCACCTCAAACTCTGACACCACCTGGGCATGATATGATAGACCATTTAATTATTTCCCTACTTTTTTGCTATCAAGGTAAATCACATCATGTTAATATTATATGATATCATTACTTCTCCTTTGATGAGGTCCTTGTGCTTTGGACAATAGACTTTTTTGTCCTCCAGGAAGATGCAGTGACACTGGCGGGCGCACATGAAGTGGTAATTACAGCTGCAAGAAGTGAGGCAGCAGCTAACTGTGGCTCCTGGCTTTTGACACTTCTCACAGTGCTAAACAAAAAGAAACGAACAGGATTGATTGTCAAACGGGAGGTGAAACTTTCCAACAACAACAACAACAACAAATAAAGGGAGGCGTCCTACCAGCAGTTTTCCCCTGAGAACAGCAGTATGAACATTTTTCAGCGCTCCATCATCATCTTCAAACACCTCGGAGGACCACAGGGCACAGTTCACATGTGTCCACTCGTTCTGGCCGATGTACAACAGCCTACCGCCCTCCTAAAACAAAGAAATTTGTGGTCGTTACACTGATTTGTCCTCACAGATGCTAACATGAATCCTGGCAGATCTCTCACTTACGTTTGTGTTTTCATCACCATACTTTAAACAGAGGACACACTGTCTGTTATCGCTTACACCTGGTGGAGGAGGGAGTTCTGGGCTGTCGTCACAATCTAAAAAGTAGAAATCAAGTCCAGTTAGGGTCACCGTTCATCCAACAGTAGACACGCTGGCATTTCTTCACACAGGTTTCTCTCTTACCTGGTAGGAGTGGGAGGGGTGGGGGCAAAGAGGGGGGTACTAGTGAAGGTGGAGAGGCAGGAGAATCTGGTTCTCCGGGAGTCTTGGGTTGAGGAGCTGGTATGATCTTTTTCATAAAGTTGGGATGCTCAGCGCGGGAAAGCTCCTGTCTCTCCTGCCACTGGGCGTAGTTGTGATCTAGGGATGGAGGCAGCACGGCGTTTGGAAGCAGTCCACTGCTGGGAATAAAGAAACAACTGTAAATGCCATATGGTTTTGGATCAGACTGTTGTGTACAAATTAGACTATGTTACGCTCTGAATTCTGTGTAACGATGTTAAAAAAAAGCAATTATGTTGATTTACAATGTCTGTGAAGCTTGAGGGCATCAAATGAAAGAACAATTTCTAATGCAGAATAATTTAAGATAATTTTCGTAGCAAAATCACCAGCGTCCAATGACATCAAACGGTAAGATAAACAGACGGAACAAAAATGCAACTGCACCACAAGTCATGTTCCATTAAGATGACAAGATTTGAAAAATGTGTTTTTTGAAGTAATTTAGAGACAAACATTCTAATATTAAATGTTTCCTTACAAGGAAAGGTTAAATGTTGTCTAATCAACACTGACATAACAAAACGCAGTATAAACAAGCTCCTTTTCCAAGCAGTAAAAATTGATTCTTTTTTTAGTACAAGTATGTCTTTAAAGTTTTATTTAGACAGAGCTTAAAAGAATGTTGGATATGTATTAATCCAGTACAGTCATCTAGGCAGACGTTTATCTACTGATGGTCAGTGAGTCCAATGGTTGGGTCACTGATTTACTAGACTGAAGCTCTGATATTTAATGCAGCAGAGAAAACTGAATAAACCACAATTAGACCACGAGAATGAATCACGGTGTTTAGGTGTAATAAGACACTGCTTTGGTTTCACATCCCACAATGCCTTCAGGCAAAGCAGCATAAATGGGTTAAGAAAAGCTGATGGCAGTCTTGAGGGAGTTCAAGTGTGCATGTGTTTAAATGTGAATGGAGGTGTTTGGTTGAGATGACACTTATTTTTTATAAAATCAAAGCTTCATGGTTACATGATTAGCTGTTCTGTCTGTCATTGACAAATAACAGCCTTGTTTTCTCTGTCTGATCAACTTTTATTCATTATATACACAAAGTAAAAATGATTTATATATCTCTTATATACCTGCAGCTCTGGGGACATTTCCGCGACGGTTTCCCTATAGAGAGCTGGCTGATTCTAAAAATAATGTTAATCAGTACTGTTCTGTGTCTCTCTGCCTCTGGTCATCTGTTACCTACTTAGACTCAGTGCTGACCTCTTTGGCAGGTTCACTGAATCAGAGAAACTGTGCTATCAGACTCACTATAGCTGCATTAAATCTTTATCACACCCTTCAATCATTGTCTCTTATCCCCTTAAAGATGTTTAAAAACAGCAAGGGTGTTCTGAAAATCCCCAAAAACAGTATATCACTCATATAAAAATACATTTTTACTTAACTCTTTTTTCATAGAAACAAGGTAAAGACAGTGTGCAGATTTTATCACTCCTAGTTTACATCTTTCTGGTCGCCTCCTAGGCACAGATGATAGTGCAGCTTCTTGCAGTGAAACCACATCTTACTTTATTCCTTCAGTAATTACAGAGCTACAGTTCTGCCAATGTCAGTTCTCCTCCAAATGTTTTCAGAGAAGCTCAAATTACACCATTACAAAAAAAATGTTTTCACTGTATTTTAAAAAAGTCCTAGCACATCACACACTGCATTGTAGCCATGACTATAATACTAGAATTACTGGATGTACTTCAACACTGACTTTTAGGCTGTTTGTGTTAGTTTGCTGAGTCATTCATAATTACATTCTGCTACCTGACCTTAAGTTAGAACGAGGGGTTGAGCAAACTGCAATACCCCTGAAACAGATTTTCATATAATGACCTCATGGGTTGATTAAATTAATCAAACCCAATGCACAGTGTACAGTCTCTAAAATACAGTCAGTTGCTCTTAATGATTTCCTCAGAACAGTTGGATACATCCCAGACAACAAATATAAAATCAATTTTTATAAATGTGTGATGGACACTCACTTGGCAGAAACTTTTTGCCTTTCCCAGAATCTGGACTCTTTCACTTTGAACCATGGGAAGATTCGGTCCATTTGCTGAAACAGAAAACACGCAGTGAGGTTTGCACATCACGCTACTAAAGCACTTGAACAGATCTCACTTTGAGTCAGGAATGTGATGAGTCACGCTGTGGCTTAATAGAAAAGTCCTGATTTAATCATGCTGCACAGTAACTGCTGCAGAGAGACCTTCATGAGCACATGTGTGTGTTTGTCATAATGACTTCTCATAACTTAACAGACTTATTAAATTCCTTTTTACTGCATTCACACTGACATAAGTCATTATTAATTTCAGTTTCTTACACGTATAAAGAATGATTTGACCATGCTGTTTGCCTTCCTGCTCTCTGGTTGGCCACCGTCACTGTTGATGGCTGTCTGAATGATTCGCACGATGTCATCACTAAACTCCAGCTGGGAGAAAAACATTGAACAGACACAGTTATTAAATGTAATTGTTATAACAGGGGAGCAGTGACCAACACTGGAAAAGTCATCAACCCAAAAAAGTTATCATATTACTGTTCATCTTTCTGACATAGAACAAATGAGACCTTAACTGGGATCATGCAAGATTCAGGTCGATATACATATGATAAGTGAATAATGTTTTAAATTACCAATGAATAACTTATATATACGTATATGCATATAGATATATACAGTATATATGTATGTAAACATATATATATATATATATATATACACATTTATATATTTCTGTACATAAAAACTGCATTAACATTTGTTTACAGATGATGACATTAGGATAAATAATGGTTTTATTACCAATGAATTGTATAGGCCTTGATCCATCTTTTTCTTAACAGACTCCAGGTCAGGAGGGGAGTCACTGGGAGTTGAAGAGGTGACTTCTGTCAGCACTGGAGGGTCTGGGCCCTCTGGGGAACGACGGGACGGAAGACTCTCCTCCGTTTCTGGATTCAACTCTGGAGGCTTCACCGCCTGGTCCAAAAGAATTCATACAAAGAATTCATTTCAGTGATACGTATGTACCCAACACTAACAGGTTACAAAGATTATAAGTCTTGAATCTGAGAAGAGAGACGTATATCTAACCTGTCTGTAGCGCAGCAGGTGTGTAGATGTACGTGAGTTTAACAGTGCAGTGAGGATGTGGCAAATACAGCCCTGAAGTTCCCTTTCCAACGCCATCCTCCACTCGGCTGGATGGCGTTCAGTACATTTGGTGCACGTATAAGCGACAGTCTCTGGCAGCTTTGACAGTAGCTCATACATTTCATCTGGAGGATGGTAAAAAATGGCAGGTCATTACTGTGTCCGTTATTGAGTTTATCTTGTAACAGTATCACATCAATACGACAGCACTGCAGGGGCCGGCTGTCAGTCAGCTTCATCCATGGCTGACAGGGCAAGTCACGAAGCAATAACTGCTAAAAGACACTGAGAACAGAGAACTGCTGGTGTAAAATGAATATAAATCCCTTCTCTGTGGCTCTGTGGGGGGTACTAACCTGTTAAATTTTCACACTTGGCATGAACCCAATGTTTGCAACGAACACATTCCATCATCTTGCTGTCATAGTCATCATCATCGTAGCACTTATCACAGAGCGGGCAGAAGTTCCCTGGTGAAGAAAGCAGCAACATTGTCATTTAGCCTGGCTTAAAAGCTTATAACGTATCCAGAAAATGTCTTCACACTGATTTTTTATCCTGCCACAAAGTTTCACACACCTTTAGCGAAGAGTTTGGCACAGTCGTGACACATAGAGAAGTCATGGGACCACTGGGCATCCCAGGTCTTCCCAGGTTTGGTCGCTCCACAGCTTTTACAGCGTACACATTTGATGCAAATCTGTGAGGAACACACAAAGCACTTAAGAGACAAATATTTGCAGCAGGTTGGTTGCAGAGAGGGACTCACATTGGACTCACTTTGTCAGTATTAATTCTGACAACTTATAATTTTAGTCAAAAAAAACCCAACCATTTTTCTACACAGAAAGCTACATATGTGTGTGTAAATACCCAGACTCTTTTCTTCTTTGTTGGTTTGGCAGGATGGTTGGGACCCAGGCACTCCGGGTGGTAACTGTTACGGCACTTATCGCACTCCAGCATCTCCTGCTGTAGTGAAAGAAAACAAATGTGAGGTTGATGTTAACATATATATATATATATATTTATACCTTTGTGTTGTGAAGCGTTAGTGCTGCGGAGCACTAACGTAGATGGTTAGTGCTTGAAGTGAGCTGTATGGCTTACTTTTGTTTTCTGGTGATGATGCCCGCAGACCTGACAGAATCTACATCTTCGACAACACCAGTTCTCAAACTGCTCCTTTAGAGGGCGCTCTGACTCCCCCAGGCAAAAAAGATGGAATGGTTCACAGCATACTTGACAAAAGACAAACTAAAACACAGAGAAAGTGGGAAAAGAAAGAGTAAAGATGTGTCTCCTGTGCCGATTTAGACATTATGTAGACAAACTGGCAATAATTTTGAAATGTATTTTATTACCTCAACATTGCCACTGCTTGCACATAAGAAGCAGAGCACCCTCGGGGTGACAGGCACAGAAGTGAGCAGGCTGAGGCCACCAGCCTCCCACACCTTCTCCACATCATGGTCCCTTTTGAAATCAACTCTGATTCGATGCACTCCGTCGCAGGGCGCTCTGGACTTCACCTGGCCTCTAGTCGAGGGAGTGCTCAGCCAGTTTAAAGAACTGCTGCTCGGGGGTTTAGTGGTCAGAGGCTACATGGGGTCATCACACAAGAGAAGGGACACAGAGGAGTGTGAATAAAAAAAGAAAGTCCACTGTTCATGCAGCAAGGTTCCACAGTCACAACAACTCACCTTGTCTTTTGGTCTCTGCTTGTTAGCTGTAGGAACGGTGCGGAAATTTGGCTTCTTTAATTGCTTTACTTCGACTATGAGACAAAGAGAAAATGTAGAATGAGTACAAACACTTTGAATGAGTACACTATATACATGTTTTACACTGTAGTGTGACTTTGGTTGCAGTTACCTCTATCTGAAGTATTTTTTGAAGGGCTTTGTTGTAATGAGTGCTGCTGGGGTTTCTTCTTGGACTCGGTAACGTGAACCTTGGGTGAAGCATCTTTTTTGGACGGTGTCTGACTCAAAAGAGCAGGTGGTTGCTGTTGAGGTGGTGGCGGAGACTGTGCAGATGGACAGGGGGAATTCTGGGCTGAAGACGACGAGGAAGATGAAGAGGAAGAAGATGAAGAGGAGGAGGAAGTGGAAGAGGAGGAAGAGGACGATGTTGGTACACATGATTGTGGTTTGTGACCCTTTTTACTGCTCACACTGCTCATGACAGAAAGCTGTTTGGGCTCTGGTGTTGGGAGTGCGGGTGAAACAGGGTCTGCCAGTGTGCTGGGGGCCTGAGGTGGGTCAGCTGGGGCAGGGGAAGATGTAAGGACTGAAGGTGAGTGCTTTGACGATGGCTGCTGCCTTGATTTTTCCTCTGTTAGCTTCAGAGGTGGAGTTTCACTCTTCTTGCGTTGGGGTTCCTCCTTTGGTGGTGCAGGAGTGGGTTTAGGACCAGACTCCAAATTTGGTCCTTTCACCAGATTAAGAGCATCTTTCTTCTCAGTAACCTTGTTCTTTTTCTTATCTTTCTTGCCCTTGCCTTGTTTCTGAAGAAACATCTTAGAAGGCATCCACTGCAAGTTCTGACACTTTCTCATCCTGTACAAAGTGACACACGCAACCATTTGTTACATCAATATTTAATATTCCATTAAGAAGATCAAGCTCTTGTGTTAAAACAAACGGTGTGATCAGGTCAAACTTACTTGCAGCATTGTTTTTTAATGTTTCTTCCTCCAAATTTAGGTTTGTCCAGACAGTTGGTACAGACCCCACAGTCTTCTGGAACCTGGCAGCCTGGGCATTGGCCGCATCGACGTGACCGCCGTCCTTTCTTCGGTGGAGCTTCTTGGACAGGCTTTTGCCGTGTTTCCCGTGGTTTTATGGGCGGAGACTGAGGCTCTGCCTCTTCAGAACCTGCTACTGATGACTTGTCTGTAAAAACATTAAAATTGAAAATAATGACTGACTGTCTGTCTTAAGATTTATGTGAAGTTTAATGTCAGTAGTAGATTTTGGGAACAAATGAGGCACCATTCATTTAGAATAAGAATTTAGAAGAATTTTTAAAATCATTCTTAATCGACATTGATAGAGTGGAACCTTGTTCATAAAACACATTCAAGTTCTTGAATATATAACTTTAAAAACAAATCATTTTAAATGACTGCCCTTCATTAGACAAAATGAGGCCTGAAGGCTCATCCTATTATCAATAATCAATGCAGCCGATTGCATCTTGATCAATCTCCCATCGCACCTGGTTTCACTGTGTAACTATCATCGTAATCTGGCACAATAAAAAAAATCCTTTTTTTTATCCTTGTACCCATATTTTGACATGCAAAGTTCCAACCTTGCAACCATAATGTCTACCAAACTAACAGGACAAACTGAAAAACTCACACATCAGTAAAACAATAATTTGCCTCACCATCATTCCCCATGGAAGAAAGTATTTTCTCTCTCTCCTCCCAGGGCAAGGCACTAAGTGTGGGCATATCATCAGGGAACACTGCCCGATTACGGCCAAGAGCCACAGCTGCACGACGACATACGTGCTTAATGCGAGGACCACGTACTGAGGTCTCTGATGAGTCACTCTCTTGACCCTGCTTACAAAAAAAAGCAACAGAGAAAAAAAAATCACACACAATCACTGATGTGCAATGTAAAAAAGGAAGACAAACCTTCCATCCTTGACCAACAGTACAAAACCTCTGAAGAAGATGAAAATTGGTTAACAGAAGGCAAGTAGACAGGAAGGCACAAGTCTAACTAAGACAAATGTGTAGTGTCTGCCTTAAACCATATAATCTTAAAAACAGCAGTGGAAGAATAGATATTATTCTTTCCAGGGGATAACACATTTTCAAAAGAAAATATGTTGCAAACCTTTGCATAATGTATGAAGCTCAAAGAATTCCCCTTATGTAACACCCTCAGTGGGACTTTCCTATTATCAGGTTTCACTTTGACTACAAACACACACACACACACATTTCTATTTTTAACAAATATTCCTAGCATCATTATTAAGTCACTCCATGATGCCTATATACTAAAAAATACCTGACTGACCTGGACCTTGGTCTGGTCTGCAGATTTTTGCTTGTTCTTCTTTATCTCAATGAGCTGGGCCTTGGCTTTGCTCAATAGTCCAACCACCTGTTTGTCAGTCACAGACACTGTCTGTTTTTCTGCTTGTGCCAAAACTGATCCAAGAGAGGTCACAGGAACCTGCTGCTTGCCCTGTTGCCCTTGAATGCTTGCCGTCTGCTGGGTTGGAGTACTTTGCTTTTCCTTCTCCTTCTCCTTTTCCAAATCCTCTACCTCCGCTCCCTTCTCAGAGGGTTTCGTTTTCTTGGGTAAGCGCCCTTTAGCAACAGATACAGCAACTGGAGATTGGACCCCTCGCACCTCTGGGGAGGCAATTTCAGAAACATTTTCAACTGTGGTGGATTTTTTTCTGCCCGGAACCTTTTTTGGAGCAAGATTTGAAAGCGTGTCTTCGGAATCCTTCAAGTCCTTTCTTGCATCTTTCTTATTCTCCTTTTCTTTTTCTCGGTTTTTCTCAGAATCCCTTTCTTTCTCCTTAGCAACAACCTCCTGTGGAGCTGATAAGTTTTTCTCTTTGTTTCCTTTTCCAGCACCCCGACCTGTGTCCTGCGTACTGGAAGGAAAGAGAGGGAAAACTGGAGAAGAAGTAGAAGATGTGGTTGACAAAGGAGGTGGGTTTCCAGCAGCCCCTCTCCTGCTTTCAGGTGTCCCTTGTGTGGCAAGACCCATGGATACAGATAAGTAGTTGCTAAAGGGAGCAGGAGTTAAGGCACTGGTGGCAAGTGGACTTGCAGAGACCCCTGGCAGAGAGCTGGAATTGCTGCTAGAGACGGAGCTTGTCAGCACTGACATATCTGAGGAGCTTTTCCCGACTCGTATCTGACCTCCGATATGGCTGCTGCGTCTGGTCATCGAGTGAGATGGGGACCGTGGGTGGCCACGTGGCATTCCAGGTACAAGTCTTCTTTTTCGACGCAAAGCCCTGCTAGAGATTGAAGATGACTGATGTGTGGAATGAGAGCTGGATTGGCTCACAGATGATGCTTGAAGGGTGACAGATTCAAAAATACGTGAGTGGGCTGCACTGGGTGTAAAACGTGGAGCTCTGAGTATTGGACTGCGCTTCTGGAGTGGCGGATCAAATCGTGATGAAGAAGGATGTTGGTGGTGAGTATGAGTGTGATGAGTAGCAAACAGGCGAGTACCTGTACCAGTTCCACTCCCTGGTGCAGGGAATGACACCTGTGCAGCTCCCCCTGTTCCACTAACACTTTGGGGAAGCAGCCCTACATCCTCAGGTGTGAGAGGCGGAGGGCGGAAGTTGTCAAATATAGGCTTACGGATGAGACCTTCCTTGGCATATTTAGCAGAGGAAAAGTACTGCTGTTCAGGCTGCATTAGGGACTTCCAGCGAAAGGTGGGCTCTCTGAGAATTGAGCGGCTTCGTTTGTCTGGTAAACTAGACAGAACTGACGGACCAGACAGAAACTGAGGGATCTGATGAGGAATCCAAGGTGATGGAGGATGGTGTTCACTGATAGCAGCTGTAGAGGAAGAAGCTGACTGAGGAGGCTGTGGGGGAGTAAGAAGGGGAGGAGGTGGTGGTGATGAAGAAGAGGAAGCGGTGGATGAAGCTTGCTGAGAATTAACAAGTGTAGAAGATGACAGCACTCCCGTAGGTGGGTTGATAATAGGCTTTTTCGGGCCAGTGGTGAGAGCTTCTCTTATTCTATGGTTTTGACTTCCTCGCCCAACCCCTGGTTCTCTACGGCCCCTTCTGCTCCTCTCCGTCAACACAAGTTCAGGTTCTGGCTCAGAAGGAGGTGTGGGAGGCTGTGAACTGTGCAACATGTTGCCTTCCCTCTCTCCTTGTGAGGACGGAGAGTGATCCTCTGGTTCTGACAAAGCCTGTGTGGCTTCAGAAACCTGGGAATCACACGATGAGTCATCCAAGCTTGGGCTGCTGGACCTGGAAGACTCTGCTGAAGAGAGCTGAGAAGAATGCTGTGACACAGCACTTGAGCCACAAGAAGCTGCACTACTACTAAATCGTCCATTGGTGGCATTGTTGCTGGTGTTGCCATTATTATTGAGCAATGTGGCAGCAGTTGATGGGGCACTGGGAACGGGGGCAGGAGGTGGCGGAGGTGGAAGGAGATCATTTGCAGCAGATGTACTAGAGCTAGTAACAGCTGGTGTAGATGAGACCTGTGCTGGGGAGGGTGATGAAGATGTGGTGGAGGTGGACTGGGTGGTTGTAGAGACATTTGAAGAGGTTGTATCTATTCTAGGCATCTTCATGTGAGGTGGTGGAGTTCCAAAGCTGCCCTCATCTTCAATGAAGCGCTTAGGGGTTTTGATGATACGAAGAGAAACAGTGCTGACGACAGGCATGATAAACTGTCTGATGTTCTTCAGTTGGGTCTTCCTGATGCCAACTTCGAGGGCTCCAGCCCCACTACCTCCCATGTTAACAGCTTCTTTCTCCTTTCGCTTCTGAGCTCCTTTCTTTGCACGTTGCAGCAGCTGTTTCGCAATGGTGGCATCAGTGCGTTTAGAAGGCGGAACGATCCTGACAGGCTTTCTGTGGCGGGGACTCTTTCTGAGGCCGACTGCCTTTCCAGTCTTGGAGGGAGGTGGGGAGGCTGGTGGATTCATAGAGTCCTGGTCCTCAACTCCATCCACATTCCTCAGCATTGGCTGCTGGGAAGAGTGTGGTTCAAGGCTTCTGTCCCCCCCTCTGACTCTCAAGTTCTTGTGTTTCCCATCCTCACTTTCAATAGAGGTAGACAGCTGTGCAGCAGCAGCTGCTGCTTCAGCTTTGAGCCGCTCCGCAGAAGGAGGTCGCCCACGTCTGCGCCGGGGTACACCGGGCGCAGCCTTGAGCCGTGCTTGAAGAGGACCAAGCTTAGTTGCTCTTAACCTCTTCAGGTTGGTAACTTTAGATACACCTTTAAGATGATTTGCATCACTGTCTTGAGAATGAGCAGAACCCAGTTGTGTTCTTTTAGCTCCCTTTTTGTCTCTGTCCTCCTCTGTGTCCATGCCCATATCAGACAGAACCAGCCCACTGTCTTCTTCTTCTGCATGGTTGCCTGTACTCCAAAGTTTCCTGCTACCTGAAGATGGGGGTCGACCTCTCCTCTTTTCCCCACTTCCAGGTGGTCTACCAGGTAACCTCTTTATCTTCTCAACTGGCCTATCTGGACCCTCGGGTTTTGTCTGTGTTGGCGATGGTAGAGGAGTGGGAGATGGTAGACCCAAAGCAGCTTTCTGTGCACTCTGGGCCCTTGGTGGTCGGCCTCTGGGTTTCTTTTCTTGTATGGGTTGGTCATCTGTTGGAACCACACAAAAAAATTAAGAAGAAATAGGGGCATCATAAACAACATGCACGTTCACAGGGATGTTGAGACAGCCGAGCAGAAGGTCACATTACCTGAAGAGGTCGCTGATGCATCCTGTATCCGTTTCTGTTCAACAACTGCTCCAAATCCATCAAATCCCTCATCCTACCAAGTACAAAACATACAAAATATATCATTAATCTTTGGTAGCAACAAACAAATAATATTAAGGTTGAAACAAATTTACAAACTTAATCTATCATGTAACATAACATTTTGGCCTAGATGATTAACTTTGCCTCAGCCTCTGAGTTGATCAAAAAGACAAGCAAGTGTTCTAGGCAGGAAAGAAGCTTTCAATCTCACTTTTACTTGCTGGCTCACCCCAGTGCTCTCGAGTTTCTCTTTTGTGATGACATATATGCAGTTGGAGAGTCCTCAAACCACAACAGACAGTTTGAATTGCAAGCACCAGAATTTTACTGGGTGACTAACACACTGCAATTCATTCCCGTTTCCTGAAGGAGCTGTACAATTCTAAGGGGTTTAGTCATAGCCGGACACACTACCAGGACAAAGACATAAAGCAAAAGGAGACTTTAGGTCTGGCTAAACTTGTAGAATTAAAAATGAAAGGAAAGTTCAACTGTTGAAATAAATCACTCTAGAACCTATCATTTAGTCTCTTGACTGAACACAAAATTATGACACCAATTGCAATATAAAAAACATTTAGGACTGACAACTACATTAGCAGTGTATATGCATGTACTTGGAAGCTGAAATGTTTTCACTAGTAGATTCATAACATATGAAAAATATTTAATTTAGTTTTTAGCTCCGGGTGCCTTGGAATTGTAAATTAAAAAGGCAATAAAATGTGATGCTATACAAACACTTTACAATTCTTTTTGCAGTTTTAATGTGAGGTATTGCTTTACATATTGATTTAGGTGTGAAAAATGCACCAATAAATAAGTGTCTCTGTGGAGCATCCACTTGAGCTTGAGCTCACATTCACTGGGGGGATGTATCTTCTGGATCTACAGGCTCCTACATGTGCTACTACTACGTACTGTACATTCATTGTGCGTTTAAGAGTGGAGGTGAGTATGTCATTTCATCGTGTTTATTTATAGCAGCATGCAAGGATGTAGTTGAGGTCTTGTTGGCCCAGTTTGTGAAGCAGCTGCTAACCAAGAAATATTGTGTATACACATGTACATAAATGCTGATTTCCAAAAGCAGAGAATTACAATGACAAAAAACAACAATTACAACATTTACCTCTTTCTCTAAAACCCAGGATTGTTTATAGTTCAGATATACAATTCATCAGTCAGTCAATAATGCTATTAATACTGGTGAGGAATGGCAATGTAAGACTCTTTTATGCTTCAAAGTGCTCTACAGCTTCATTTTCCTCCACTACATCTTTCCATTTTCAAACTCACAGTAATAATAGAATTCTCTCCTCTCTGAGCAAGCTGCTAAGCTGCTGCACTTGCTTGGTGTTGTTGCAGAGCTGAGGGGGGCGGAGTACCACTAGACCACTCTGATTACTGTGATATTGCGAGTAGTAGTCAATGACATCACAGACGGGCTTGGTGGAGGCAAGTGCATGATGTCGAGTGCGCATGTTCATAGTGCACATGCACATTCTGACATGTGCACATGCTCCTTGGGGTGCTGTCAGCCACACAAACACCTCACACACTGACAAACATTAGGGGGAGAGAAAAGAAAGGGCTCGGAGATGTAAACAAGAGTGCAGGAGTGTAGGGGGAGGGGAGCAAAGGCATGGCAGAGCAATGACAGGAGGAGGGCTGTGGGAGTGGGGAGAGGAAGGGAGAATAAAGGGGCGAGGATGCAGCATCTTGACCGCACGTAACATTTACAACACAGGGAGTGCAGACGTCTCCTGGGAGCCAATGATGAATGGGGTTTTTAGGGTTTTATCAAGGATTCAACAAGACATCCCCGCCCCCTCTACCATTTTCTCTGTATCGTGTTTTCCAAACACATATTCAATAACTCACTTATTGAGCAGTTACTTGCTTCCCACCCACTGACTTCTGAGCATCAAGCAGCAGAGTGTGAAAACAGGGCTCCGCAGGAGCTCAGTCACAGGGCAGGCAACATGAAGGAGTAAATAAACATTAAAGTGGAGCGGCAGGGAAAGGTTCTTGTTCTGCCTTTTAAACATACCAGGGATATAAATATTGTTGAAAACAAACCAGAATGTTGTTTCTTCTCCTTACCAGAGGAAGAATGAGGCTGGTTTTGGCTTTTCTTTAAAAAAAACAAAACATGATTTGGGTAGTGGGCTCCTGAAAGCATCCAATGCTCCCTGGAATGTGTAAAATGCAGAGAACATATTTGGAACAACTGTTAACTGATAGTAATTTCAAATTTTTTATATGGAAGAAGGTAGAAGAAGAAGAATTTTCAGCTTTTTCATCGAGTTTTTACAACAGAAGCGTTACAATCAAACACTAGTCTTTATTTGTATAAAAAGTTTAAAACTAACATTTATAGAGTTACATTCATTTAATTTTTTTTACACAGTTTTGTCCATCATTAGATTTTAGTCCAGATGAACATCAGCTTCTATAAAACAAAAATTAAAATAGACAGATTAAGGTGATGCATGAGGTCATTTCTGAGACTTAAAAGATTGAGACTTGCCATCATTAAAACCTGCAACTTAATTAAAAGATCAATAACATTACCAAAAGTTTTTTCTACATTTTGTTACAGTATGTTACAGTATGTAACAAAAACTTCACTTCAAAGTAATCTGAAATTGTTCTGCATGATGCAAAAAATCTTTTCAGTCGCATCAGAGGCTGGGCTTAGCTTAACTATGTAGAGAGCTGGGGTGAAAAATTTTGTCTAGAATGTTGTCCAAAAAGTGTGTTGGCCCGCAGGCCAATTCTTATAGCTGGGCTACAGACGAATCAGAATTGGTTTTAATCTCTTACTGATGTCTTTAGAAAAGAGAAACCTACACAAATACTCCGAAACTATATTGTTCTCAACAAAATCTTGAGGACTCTCCCTTTGAACTGCTCTGACATTTCATTGCAATGATCAATGCAAAAATGATTGAATCTGAGAGCCACGAAACACTGAAAGGAAACCGTTTCAAGAGAATGAAACAGCAGTGTCGTTTTCTTATGGGGTGGAAGGGACTGTCCCTGACACGAGAAATGAATATGAAGTTGGTCTGATGCACAGTGAAACACACTCTCAAAGTGTGTGCAGGACTTAAACCCTGTCTCATGAAAGGAAGTCATCATATAATTATATCAACTGTCTTTTCTTCAATAATTTTAAGGCTTTTATTAGAAACATTAAGCACCTTCTCGGGCTGTCATTACAGCCAATGATTGTCTATTAACTTTGACAATAATTGACAATTGTTGTATCTAACAGACAATTATAGTTAATTGAAGTACATTCATCAAACTGAAGGCAACACCAGGATGAATATTGTCTGCGGCTGACAGGAAAGGTGTTGAGTAAATGCTTGTGTTGTCAATTCAAGACCTTGATAGTCACTACTGCTTTTAAAGAAGTTATGAGTCTTCACGACTCTCGATAGCGATGTTAAAGAACATTGTCTTGACAGAATCAATGAAGCCTATGTCTTTGATTTACTGTGCAGACATGATGCATCCTGCTTTCCTGGAAAATGAAGTGGCGATGAGCTCATACACTGAAATAGCTCCATGATGACACATCAGAGGAATTTAAAGAAATGTGCCAACAACAAACATTACCTATTTGGGAAAAATATAAGTAATTAAAAAGAAACTGAAAATATAAATCCAACATCCCAGCCTCTGTCCAACACTTCCTATAACACATAAATCACACCGTGGGACTAGCAGTGGTGACCTCTGGGAGCCCCAAGCAAAAGGTGAACATTTGTCATGTCAAGTGTGCAACCACATGGTGCAAATGTTTGCACATTTGCCCACCAAAACCCCAAACAAAAACAAACACTTAACAAGAAGTGTCTTTGGTTCTTCTGCCTTAACTCCAACATTAGAAGATGACCATTGCCCATCTCACAGAGATTACTCTGTGTTATATTCCTGCCACAGTGTACCCACAAACAGGCACAATAAAATGTTGATTTAATGTGCGTGATTCCACAGCTTTCAGTGGCAGTGGACGTACCAGGGCAGTACAACAACAAGGGTTGACAGTACTTTTCAATGCAGGAAAAGTTCTTGTCCTTCCTTACGTGTTATCCCTGACACATATTATCTCTAATTTATTCCTATAGACCCCACAGTGGCAAGGTGGTGAGCCCTGTGGCCTCACAGCAAGAAGAAGCAGCTCAGGAGTTTGTGTCACACTTTGGACAGATGGTGTGTTTCAGTGTGGGTTTTCTAGGTTTCCCCCGATGTGCTTCGTATCTTCAGGGAAAATCTGGGGTCTTCACACAGTTCTAAAGGTTGGGGGTATGGTCAACTCTGAAATGCCGTGGCAGCAAATGCAGGCGTAAATGAGTTTTATGTTCACTGAAATGTACAAGCAACCTGTCCTCTAATATGACCAACATTTTGCCAATTAAGAACCAATTAGTAAATGACCGAGGGCAATCACATTGTCAGTTAAAAAGTTTATGCTGGAATTGTCAGAATACAATTTTTTTTACAAACCAATAGGCGTGCAAGCATTTTCATTTGTGAACTCTGTGGTAAACAGTGAAATACAGTATGAGAGTCAACCACAGTGAGGACACCTGGCAGGAAAATGCTTACAAAGCTTTTCTCATAAACAGACAGCATTTCTAAGCCAAAATGGAAAAAAAAACTTTATGTATTAGTCAAAATAATAAAAGGTGATTTGCTGAGGTGAAACTGCCTCATTTATCCATGCATCTTCAAGTTGCTCGCATCATAACAAAACAAATGTTACAGTAAGTGTAGCTATTGTCACACTGCTGTCTGTTAAAATACCCCCAACCTGCTGACATTGTTGACCTACATAAATGAATGGGCATGAGTATTTGAATGATGTATCAGGCCCAACACTGATGCTGGTATTTGTGCATCCCTACTTTTTGGAATGAAGAACAGAACACACAGACTCAGTGTGAAGGGTGGGACATCTACTTCAAAATGTATGCATTTAAACAATAACAACCG